GGACGTCCAACGGCATTGACAAGGAGCTCAAGTCTTTGTCGGCAGAATTGTGACAGACTTCCGAGGCATATCGGGCTCGCTGGGGTGGGAGGGCCCGTGAAGAAACCTCACATCGCACATCGCAGCCATCGCAGATGGCGCTGGCGTTCAGCGCGTAGATCGTTCAGCCATCGCAGATCGTTCGCTTGCTTCTACGACGAGCTCTACACCGGCAAGAGCAGTGCAAGGAACGCTCACAATTCTGCTGCAGAAGCAATTCCGCCTTTCACGCAGGAGGAACGTGACGAGGTTTTAAAAGCTTTAAAGTGTGGGAAATGCAAAGTCGAGTCTGCAGTGGTTGCGGAACTGCTGAAGACGTCCAGTGCCATTTTCCGCAATGCTGTTCTCGATTTGTTCATCGACGCGACGCAGCCGGGCGCGGCGCTGCCGGAAACGTGGTCGAGAACGCGGCTTGTTGTATTATTCAAAAAGGAGACCAATTTTTTCCAAAGAACTATAGAGCCATAGCTATAATGCCAATCCTGTACAAATTGTTCGCCCGGGTGTTGTGCGACAGACTCCAGCCGGCAATTCTTTCTGCGCAGAGCCCGGGCCAGGCGGCATACCGGAAGGGGTATTTGACAGTTGACCATTTACTCGCACTCGCGCTACTTGTTGAAGGATGTGAGGAGTGGAGCCAATCGCTGTGGATAGTCTCGTGGATTTTGAAAAAACGTTCGATGCTGTAGAACACTCCTGCGCTGCGGGAGGTACTTCGTGTATTTGGCGTAGACGCCAATTATATTTCTTTTTTGGTGCAGAAGCTGTGCTGCTGTCAGTCAGCAACGGTCGTGGCGGGAGAGGAGTCGCGGAGATTCGATGTATCTCGCGGTGTGAAACAATGACACGATATCAGCAATGCTGTTCATAGCTGTGATGGAAGTATGGTTACGTGCACTCAAGAAGAGATGGCGCGGGCAGCGCAGGACTGGATCCTATTATGGTTTTGTCATTGACTCTGTGGATGGCCCGCTGACGAATTTACGGTTTGCAGACGACGTCCTTTTACTGGCGAGCAGCAAATCAGACGTTGTGAAAATGCCCAGGGACTTGACTAAGGAGGCTTCCCGGTATGTACTTGTTGTTCACTTCGGGAAAACAGCGCTTCTTGCACATTCTGCTGACAATTGTTCACTGACAGTGTAAGTATCTGGAGCCAGGTGAATCGGAACGGTTTTTGAAAATTCAGCTGTCTCTTTATGATTCTCATGACACTGAACTCACGCATCGATTGTCGTCTGCTTGGAGGGCATTCGCAAAGTTCAAGCACGTTCTATGTTCTCGGTCGTACCCGCGGAGGAAGCGCTTGCGGCTGTTCGACAGCGTCGTGGGCCTGGTCGCGTTGTGTGCGTGTGAATGCTGGGCGCTGGATGCTATGTCCAGAAACAGACTCAGAGATGCGTGGGGAAAGATGCTCCGGGGCATGTTTCGCACGGCCAGGGCCGCGAGTACACGCGCTCGAGAGGAGTATTGCTCCAACGTTCGCATCAGAAACTGGGTATCCATCCAGCGCGCCCGCAAATCTGCGTTCGCAGCCCGCGTCTTCTTCGACGCCGAGAACAAGTGGAACAAACGACTGTTGCACTGGACGCCGTGTTTCCGGACGGAAGCCAAACGATCTCAAGGGCGACCTCGTCTGAGATGGAAAGATTCCTTGGGTGCGCGAGCGGCCTTCCATGCGCGCGTTTCACTGGATGCATTTTCCTACTTGCCATGCGCGCGTCTGCCCCTCAGGGGGCCGCTCCGGCTACCGGGGCCGACGCGCAGACTTCCTGTCCTGTCCTGTCCAGGGGCGGCGAGGTCCCGAGTCGGTCCGCGTGGGGCGTGCCTCCGCTGGGCCTTCCAGGAGCCAGCGAAAGTGGCGACAGTTCCGCAGATCGCAAGCCTCCCAGGGGGCGGCGAGGTCCCGAGGAGGTCCGCGTGGGGCGCACCTCCGCTGGGCCTCCCAGGAGCCCGCGAACATGACGACAGTTGCGCAGATCGCAAGCCCCCCAGGGGGCGGCGAGGTACCGAGGTGATCTGCGTGGGACGTACCTAGGAGCCTACGAAAGCGGCGACAGTTGCGCCGATCGCAAGCCCCCCAGAGGGCGGCGAGGTGCCGAGGTGGTCCGCCTGCGACGTACCCCCGCTGGGCCTCCCAGGAGCCCACGAAAGTGGCGACAGTTGCGCAGATCGCAAGCCCCCCAGGGGGCGGCGAGGTCCCGAGGTGGTCCGAGTGGGACCTCCGCTGGGCCTCACATGAGCCCTACGAATGTAGCGACGGTTGCGCAGATCGCAAGCCCCCCAGGGGGCGGCGAGGTTCCGAGGTGTTCCGCGTGGGACGTACCTCCGCTGGGCCTCCCAGGAGCCCGCGAACGTGGCAACAGTTGCGCAGATCGCAAGTTCCCCGAGGGGCGGCGAGGTCCCGAGTCGGTCCGCGTGGGACGTACTTCCGCTGGGCCTTCCAGGGTCCCACGCAAGTGGCGACAGTTGCGCAGATCGCAAGCTCTCCGAGGGGCGGCGAGGTCCCGAGTCGGTCCGCGTGGGACGTACCTCCGCTGGGCTTCCCAGGGGCCCACGAAAGTGGCGACAGATGCCCAGATCGCAAGCCTCCCAGGGGGCGGCGAGTTACCGAGGTGGTCCGCGTGGGACGTACCTCCGCTGGGCCTCCCAGGAGCCCACGAAAGTGGCGACAATTGCGCAGATCTCCCCCTCCCCCCCTCCTTCCCCGCAGGGGGCGGCGAGGTCCCGAGGTGGTCCGCGTGGGACGTACCTTCGCTGGGCCTCCCAGGAGCCCGCGAACGTGGCGACAGTTGCACAGATCGCAGCCCCCCAGGGGCGAGGTCCCGAGGTGGTCCGCGTGGGACGTACCTCCGCTGGGCCTCCCAGGAGCCCGCGAAATTGGCGACAGTTGCGCAGATCGCACCCCCCCCAGGGGGCGGCGAGGTAGCGAGGTGGTCCGCGTGGGACGTACCTCCGCTTGCCTCCCCAGGAGCCTACGAAAGTGGCGACAGCTGCGCAGATCGCAAGCCCCCAGGGGGCGGCGAGGTACCGAGGTGGTCCGCGTATGATGTACCTCCGCTGGGCCTCCCAGGAGCCCGCGAACGTGGCAACAGTTGCGCAGATCGCAAGCCCCCCAGGGGGCAGCGAGGTCCCGAAGGTGGTCCGCGTGGGACGTACCTCCGCTGGGCCTCCCGGAACCCACGAAAGTGGCGACAGTTGCGCAGATCGCAAGCCCCCCAGGGGGCGGCGAGGTAGCGAGGTGGTCCGCGTGGGACGTACCTTCGCTGGGCCTTCCAGGAGCCCACGAAAGTGGCGACAGCTGCGCAGATCGCAAGCCCCGCAGGGGGCGGCGAGGTCCCGAGGTGGTCCGCGTGGGACGTACCTCCGCTGGGCCTCCCAGGAACCCACGAAAATGACGACAGTTGCGCAGATCGCAAGCCCCCCAGGGGCGGCGAGGTACTGAGGTGATCCGCGTGAGACGTACCCCCGCTGGGCCTCCCAGGAACCCTACGAAAGCTGCGACAGTTGCACAGATCGCAAGCCCCCAGGGGCGGCGAGGTCCCGAGGTGGTCCGCGTGCGACGTTCTTCCGTTCGGCTTCCCAGGAGTGCACGAAAGTGGCGACAGTTGCGCAGATCGCAAGCCCCCCAGGGGGCGGCGATGCCCGAAGTGGTCCGCGTGGGACCTCCGCTGGGCCTCCCAGGAGCCCTACGAATGTGGCGACAGTTGCGCAGATCGCAAGCACTCCCAGGGGGCGGCGATGTCCTGAGGTGGTCCGCGTGGGACGTACCTCCGCTTGGCCCCCCAGGAGCCCACGAAAGTGGCAACAGTTGCGCAGATCGCAAGCTCCCCAAGGGGCGGCGAGGTCCCGAGGCGGTCCGCGTGGGAGACGTACCTCCGTTGGGTCTTCCAGGAGCCAACGAAAATGGCGACAGTTGCACAGATCGCAGCTCCCCGGGGGCGGCGAGGTCCCGTGGTGATCTGCGTATGATGCGCCTCTGCTGGGCCTCCCAGGAACCCGCGAAAGTGGCGACAGTTGTGCAGATCGCAGCCCGACTGCACGAGAGAAAAGGAGAGGGGGACACAGGAAACAGGAGAGAAGGAGAAAGGGAGGAGAGGGGAGGAGGAAGGAGGAAGGACGGGGCGACCACACTGCTATATTCAAAAGGGTTGGGAAAAACAGGGGGGGGGCGACCCTCCTCTAGGGCCCGCGGCCCCGTCAGCGCTCGCATCCGCGCCCCGGGTGGCCGAGTTCGGCGGGAACTCGGCCACGCGCCGCGCGGGCGGTGGCGTCCTGCCTCCAGCGCGCCGGCCCCCCTGGCCCTCCCCCGAGCCCTCCACGAAAAGAAAAAAGGGGGGGAGGGGGCGGGGGGGTTACGAGAAGGACTGGAAGGATGTCTTGGCGGTCCGGGTTGGGTACAAGGCTGACATCGTGCAGTTGGAGGGGGATGCCCTCGTCCTGGCATGCAAACATATCCTGCGAGCTGGGGCCGCCGTCGGGCGACGAGTGATTATCCTCGTCGACAACATGTGTTTCGCGTTAGCGTGCTGTAAGGGTCGTGCTAAGTCGAGCCACCACCAGTCCGTGATGTTGAAGATCGCCGCCTTGTCATTGTCGTCGGGGTGTCGCCGTCATGTTCGTTGGATTCCGAGCGAACGCAACCCTTCAGATGCTCTTTCTCGTGGCCGCCATGGCTGGTTCTCAGGCTGCAGGGCCCCCCGTCGCCCTCCGAGCGGGGGGGATGCCGCGGTCCGCGCCGAGGCGCTCGAAGGCGAGGGCTAAGGCCGCTGCTCAGTGCGAGGCGCGCGTGGCGGCGGCACTGCGCCTGACGGCCGAGAGTGAGAGAGCCCGTGGGGTCGCTCAGCGTCCTCGAGCAGATCGCCATTCGCCCTGCGACGGAGGCCCTCTACAAGAAATTCGCGACGGCCTTCCTGCATTTCGGCAAGCTGAAGGGACTCGACTGGTGCGCGGTGGAGGAGATGGACGCGGTCCTTGCGCTGTGCCTCAACGACTGCTTCCACTGCGGGGTGTCAGATCACGGCGCTCAGCTCCTGGCCAGCCTGGCCCACTTCTACCCGAGCCTCCGCAACGCGTGGAAGGTCCAGTGGCCCCGTGCCACACGGGCCTCGGTGGCGTGGAAGCGGAGGGTGCCTGCTGGGGCGCAGCTGCCTATGCCGAAGGCTGCGGCGATGGCCGTTTGCTTGCTGCTGGTGGAGGCGGGCGCCCCCTGGATGGCCGTGTGGGTGGCCATGTCGTTCGTGGCCTACCTTCGCCCCGGAGAGACCTTCCGCCTGGAGGGGGGGGGCCTCGTCCCACCGTCTCCTGCGGCGGGGAGCCAGTGCCGCGACTGGGGGCTGCCGCTGCGCGAGGTGGCATCGCTGGTGCCGGGCAAGACTGGGCTGCGCGACGAGAGTGTGCTGATCGACATGGGCCCGTGGCTGATCCCTGCGTTGGAGTATCTGCGCGCGCGACGATCACTGCCGAGAACAGCCTTTGGTCATTCTCGGCCGCGGCCATTCGACTATAGTACAGTCAATGCCTGAGTCAGCTGGGCTTGCCGCAGGTGTCCGACCACTATTGCCTCCACCGCGGGGGCGCTTCGGACGACCTGCTGACGCGTCGACGGGATGCCTTCCAGGTGCAGCTGAGAGGCCGATGGGCGTTAGTTCGGATCCTGCAAATATACGGAAAAGAGACCAAGTTGCAGAGCTGAGCGTTCTTCACGACGTGTTTCGTCTCAGGCATCTCATGATGCATCAGTTCTGGACGGTATGTGCTGCCGGGGGAGTCGCAGAGGCCAGCGTCGGCCACAGCGTCCCCGCGACGTGCGTGCCAGTCTTGCGAGCCGCCGAGAGGATGCGCCCGAATGTTCGGGGCACCGCCCGCACAAGCGGCCAGTGAGCAAGCTGCACTCCCTCTCCTCATGTGAAATTCGAGCCCACCTGCAGCGCCGCTTCAGGAATGAAATGAAGAGAGGGGGGGGTCCAACAATCCGTTTTGACATCGTGTTTTTTTTGTGCTTTTCGCTGGGCCCGGAACCCTGTCAAAGGCCCTGCGGGTCATGGGTGTTTCCGCCGTCGACCCTGATTTTCGGAATTCGACTTGGGAAGACCATCTCCACATAACGTTTGAAAAACTGATCCGCGGTTGGGTTTCAAGCGGGAAGGTCTCGGTCGTTTTTCTTGGAAGTCCCTGCACGTCGTGGAGTCGTGCCCTTCGACGCCCCCTCCGCACTCGCGAATGGCCCATGGGAGCTCCCGCCGAACAGTTGTCTAATATCGAGCAGGCCCGTTTGGCCGCTGGCAACGCCACCTTTCGTTTCAGCTGTAGAATGATCAAACTGTGCGTCGTGTGTGGAGTTCCTGTATACCTAGAGAACCCCGCGTCTTCCATGCTCTGGTCTGCGCTTGATGTGATAATTGTGTGTGTGTGTGTGTGTGCGAAACCCGAACATCAGTCGGTCGATTTTCACATGTGCCAGTTTGGTACGAGATGGCAGAGACCCACTCGCCTCTCCGCCTGGCTCTCTCCCTCTCTCTCTCTCTCCTTCCTCTCTCTCGGAAGTGCGTGTGCTGTAACGGTGGGTGTAGTTTGTCCCACAAAACTTTACATCATCCTTAGTGGGAAGGCTTCTGGCGGTCGAAACTGGACTGCCCTTGCCGCTGCATGCCCGTTGCTTTTTGCGACAGCCCTGGCCAAAATAATGATCCAAGGCTTTCAGTTTCTGGCTCTCAATCGCCTGTGGACCTTCGCTGCGGGTCCGGACGACCTTCCCTCAGATAAGGTCTCTCGGGGACACGGGTGAACACCATTGTTTGCGTTTTGACTTTTTGGACTTTTTAGTTCGGCCTTGGCGGCCCAGTCTGTCCTTGCGGGATTCGGGCGATCTCTCCGAAGTTGCCATCGTGCCTAAGCCCCTCGCCTCTCGCCCTGGCCTGGACGGCCCAGGATGGATGGCAGATGTCGCCTGCGGTCGGACTTCTCATGAATCGTCTGGCATCCATTGTCCGTCTGGCAGTGCTGATAATAGTCGTATCAATCAGAGTCGGGATGATAATATCAAGATTAATAATCATGAGACGGATACGAATATTCAGATACGTACTACGAATAGTAATACTATGAGCCATACTAATAATAATGATAATTTCGGAAGGGGAGGAGGAGGAAGATAAGGAGGAAGAAGGACATGAGGAAGAACAATAACAACAGCAACAGCAGCACCAGCAGCCGCAGCAGCAGCAGCACCAACAGCAGCAACAGCAGCTGCAGCAACAGGAGCAGCAGGAACCCCTGCAGCGGGCCGCCCCGTCAGGCTGGGTTCCGCCTGCCCCGCCTTCAGCAGCGCGCTGTCAGCCCGCAAGCGCGCGGAACAGGAGAGGGGCGTGGGGCTGCGGCCCGCCCGGCGGCATACGCGGCCCGCCCGCCTCCGCGTGGGGCGGGTCGCCTAGGCGAGGATCGAGGATCGCGGCCGAGGGGCGAGGGTCGAGGGTCGAGGGTCGAGGATTGAGGTTGAGGGGCGAAGGTTGAGGGGCGAGGGTCGAAGATCGAGGTCGAGGATTGAGGGTCGAGGATCGAGGTCGAAAATCGAGGTCGAGGGTCGAGGTCGAGGATCGACGATCGAGGTCTCAGGGCTCGCTCTCCAGAGGAGGACTTTGCTTTGCCCCTGTTGGGCCTTTTGGAAGGCCCTCGTCGTCACGGAGGCGTTTGCTTCGATGTTCTGGTCAGATCGCGCCCAGGAAGTGGTGCAGAGAATGGCAGTATCGGTACCTTTGATGTTTGAGTCTGTTTCGTTTTCATTTGATGTTGAGCCTTCGTTTCTAAATAATTCTTAGTACCCTTGTTGGACACCCCACATATGCTCTTTCGCTCTCGCGTCGGCGCTGGCTGCATTTCCTTTGGACATTCGGCTCGCGCTCAGGCCATCTTCGTTCGCCGAAGCGCCCCCACCCGACAACAACAACAGCAGCCGCAGCAGCAACAACAACACCATTACCAACAACATCAACCACAACAACACCACCAACAACAACAATAACAGCAACAATACACACACCACAACTACGTCAGCACCAACAACACCAAGAACAGCACCAGCAACAACACCAACAACACCAACGACAAAAACATAACCAACAACAACAACAGCACTAACGACAACAACACCAATGATTCTTCAGGCTTCCGCCACATCCGCCGACCCCTTGGATTTTCCCCGGGATCGTTCACCACAGCTTCCTTGCAAACCGTGGGAAAATGAGGTTGTTCAGGGCCCGTCACAGCGAGAAGGGGAGCCGACATGGGTCGCAAACTGGCCCAGAGGGCTTCCAGACGGCCCAAGCGAACCCCAAGACGGCACAGGGAGGTTTTTTGGGTTGTGTTTGGGGCCTTGCACGGGTGCCGGAGCCAGGGAAGTAGGTTACACCCCGGAGACATCTTACGGTTGTCGGGCGGTTTCCAAGCGGGATGTCCCGCTAATTGTTAATGTTCGGAGATGTTTGGGCTGACCTTGTCGATGGCAATGACGTCGTTGATGATCACGACACTGATGACGATGATCGGCTCCCTCTCCTCCTCTCCTCCTCCCCCTGCTCCTCCCTCCTGCTCCTCTTTCTGCCTCTCCTCCTCTTCCTTCTCCTGCCCTTCCTCCTCCTCCTCCTCGTCCACGTCCTTCTTCCCTTCCCTTCCCCGCCTTCTTCTCCTCCTCCTTCTTGTCCTTCTCCTGCTGTTCCTCCTCCCGCCCTTCGTCCCTCTCCTCCTCCTCCTCCTCCTCCTCCTCCTCCTCCTCCTCCTCCTCCTCCTCCTCCCCCGCCTTCTCCTCCTCCTTATCCCCCTTCCCTTCCCGGCCTTCTCCTCCTCTTCCTCCCCCTCCTTGTCCTCTTCCTCCTCCTCCTTCTCCTCCTCCTGCTCCTCCTCCCCCCCCCCTCCTTCTCCTGTCGCGGGGCCCTCGTGGAGGCTTCTTGGACCGTCTTGGTGCGGTCTTGGGAGGCTCTCGGGCCGCCCCGGAGCGCCCCAGAAGGCGCACGTACGAAAAATACACGTTTTACGAAGAGAACGGGCGATTTTATACAGCGAGAGGCCCTCCAGGGGCGCATAGTGAAAGCCTCGTGGGGCGTCTTGGGGGGCCTCTGCAGCCGTCGGGAGGCCGTCGTCAGCGTTTTGGATCGCTCTTGGACCGTCGAGGACCATGTGGAGCTCTCGTCGAGGCCGCTCGGACCGCTCCTGGAGCGCTCTCGCAGCCGTTTTCGGAGCCCTTTTGGGCCGTCTTGGACGTGTGTTTGCGCGTCTTGGGGCCCTCGAGGGCTCTGTGGGAACCCTCTTGGGGGCGTCTTGGGCCGTCTGGGAGCGGGTTTGGGTGGCTCTGGGGCCGTCCAGGAGCGGGGGGCACCCCAAAAGGCGCACGTGTGAAACAATATACGTCTGACGAAGGAAACGAAGGATTTTTTGCGTCTAGAGGCCCTCTGTGGGCGCATCGTGGATGCCTCTTGGGGCGTCTTGGGGGCCTCTTCAGCCGTTTGGAGGCCGTCGTCAGCGTTTTTGATCGCCCTTGGACGGTCGAGGACCATGTGGAGCTCTCTTCGAGGCCACTCGGACCGCTCCTGGAGCGCTCTCGGAGCCGTTTTCGGAGCCCTTCTGGGCCGTCTTGGACGTGTGTTGGCGCGTCTTGGGGCCCTCGAGGGCTATGTACGGACCCTCTTGGAGGCGTCTTGGACCGTCTGGGAGCGGGTTTGGGGGGCTCTGGGGCCGTGCAGGAGCGGGGGTCACCCTCAAAGGCGCACGTGTGAAACAATATACGTTTTACGAAGGAAACAAACGATTTTTTGCGTCTAGAGGGCCTCTTGGGGGGAATCTTGGATGCCTGTGGGGGCGTCTGGGGAGGCCTCGTGAGCCGTCGGGAGGTCGTCGTCGATGTTTCTGATCGCTCTTGGATCGTCTGGGACCATGTGGAGCTTCGGGGAGGCAGCTCGGAGCGCTCCTGGAACGCTCTTGGGGCCGTTTTCGGAGTCCTCTTGGGCCGTTTTGGACGCCTGTTGGCCCATCTTGGGCCCTCTAGGGGTCTGTGGGGGACCCTCTGCGAGGCTTTTGGGGCCGTCTGGGAGCGGGTTTGGGAGCCTCTTGGGCCGTCGGGGAGCATCGGGAAGATCCAAAGCTGAATTTTTACCTAACAGCGAAGACTGATAGGTTTCTAGTGGGATCAAAAGAGAGCAGCAGATCACTCCACAGGGGGGTCCGGGCAGGTGTTGGGAGTTGCCGGGCGGCAGGTGCCGGGCTCGTTTTTCACCAACAGTCACACACTTCGTGCTCTTCGACTTCCCAGAACTCCATTCCCAGGCCACATTCTGAATACCCGGATGCAACAGTCACACACTTCGTGCTCTTCGAGATCCCAGAACGCCATTCCCGGGCCACCTTTAGAATAACCGGATGCAACAGTCACACACTTCGTGCTCTTCGAGTTCCCAGAACTCCATTCCCGGGCCACATTTGAGGGCCGGATGCAACAGTCACACACTTCGTGCTCTTCGACTTCCCAGAACTCCATTCCCGGGCCACATTTTGGATGCCCGGAGCCAACTGTAGGCCACTTCGTGCTCTTCGATTCCCAGAACTCCATTCCCGGGCCACATTTTGAATGCCCGGAGCCAACTGTAGGCCACTTCGTGCTCTTCGAGTTCCCAGAACTCCATTCCCGGGCCACATTTTGAATGCCCGGAGCCAACTGTAGGCCACTTCGTGCTCTTCGAGTTCCCAGAACTCCATTCCCGGGCCACATTTTGAATGCCCGGAGCCAACTGTAGGCCACTTCGTGCTCTTCGAGTTCCCAGAACTCCATTCCCGGGCCACATTTTGAATGCCCGTAGCGAACTGTAGGCAACTTCGTGCTTTTCGACTTCCCAGAACTCCGATTCCTGGGCCACATTTTCAGCAGGGGCAAGAGCACGACGAGGAGGAGGACGAGCAAGACCAGGAGGACGAGGACGAGCAGGAGCAGGACGAGGAGCAGGAGGAGCAGGAGAAGAAGGACGAGCAGGAGGAGGAGGAGGACGAGCAGGAGGAGGAGGACGACCAGGAGGAGGAGGACGACCAGAGAGAGAGGAGGAGGAGGAGGAGGGGGGGGGGAGGAGTACCAGAGGAGGAGGAGGAGGAGGAGAGAGGAGGAGGAGGAGGAGGAGGAGGAGGAGGAGGAGGAGGACGAGGACGAGGAGGAGGAGGAGGGGGGGGGAGAGTACCAGGAGGAGGAGAACGAGGACCACCAGGAGGAGGAGGAGGAGGAGGAGGAGGAGGAGGAGGAGGAGGAGGAGGAGGAGAGAACACCAGGAGGAGGAGGACGAGCAAGACGAGGAGGACGAGAACGAGGACGACCAGGAAGAGGAGAGGAGGAGGAGGAGGAGGAGGAGGGGGAGGACTACCAGGAGGAGGAGGAGGAGGAGGAGGAGAGGAGGAGGAAGAGAGGAGGAGGACGAGGAGGAGGAGGAAGGCTGAGGCTGTGACTGCGACTGGAGGAGGAGGACCGTTGCGAGGAGGCTGAGCGACAGGAGTCATCAGGAGAAAGCGGAGGATGCAGGCTGAGGCTGAGGCTGTGACTGCGACTGCCGTTGCCGCTGCGACTGTCATCGCGAATGCGACTACGACTGCGAGAACAGCAGAATTCGACAACTGGATTTTCATCTGAATCTTAAGGGGAATGCTTTCAGATATGCTTCTACACATCGCTGTTAGGTTGCTTTGCCGGGATAATTTAAAATGTACATTTCACAATGGGAATGGCCCAATTTTGGCGTCTAGGGACCCTTGTGGAACGCATCTCGGAGGCCCTCGGGGGAGCTCGTGGGGACCTCTTCTGCCGTCGAGGACGCCTCGTGGCCCGTCTTCGGGCAAACTTGGACGTCTTGGAGCGCTCGTGGGGCGTCCCAAATCCATTTCGAAGCCACCAGACGCGTCCCTACACGAATTTCATGTGTTTTTCCACGTTTTCGTCACCCCCAAAAGCGCACGTGTGAAAACATATACGTTTTACGAAGGAAACAAACGATTTTTTGCGTCTAGAGGGCTTCTTGGGGGGAATCTTGGATGCTTGTGGGGGCGTCTGGGGGGGCCTCGTGAGCCGTCGGGAGGTCGTCGTCGATGTTTCTGATCGCTCCTGGACCGTCCGGGACCATAAGGAGCTTCGGGGAAGCAGCTCGGAGCGCTCCTGGAACGCTTTTGGGGCCGTTTTCGGAGCCCTCTTGGGCCGTCTTGGACGCCTGTTGGCCCATCTTGGGCCCTCTAGGGGTCTGTGGGGGACCCTCTGCGAGGCTTCTGGGGCCGTCTGGGAGCGGGTTTGGGAGCCTCTTGGGCCGTCGGGGAGCATCGGAAAGATCCAAAGCTGAATTTT